TCACATAAAAATAAAATCTTGGGCGCCTGGGTGGCTCAGTGGGTTAGGCCTCTGCCTTCACCTCGGGTCGTGATCTCAGGGTCCTGGGATCGAGTCCTGCGTCGGGCTCTCTGCTTGGCGGGAGCCTGCTTCCTCCTCTCTCTCTCTGCCTGCCTCTCTGCCTACTTGTGATCTCGCTCTGTCAAATAAATAATCTTGAAAAATAATAAAAATAAAATAAAAATCTTAGAAAAACAAAAACAAACCAAAACCCGGCTCTGTAGTATTCCAGTAGGTCACAATATATCCATTCCTCAAATGATGGGAACACGGAAAGGTTTACAATAGTTATGATTGTGGACAGCCTGAAATGTTCATAACGTAGGGTTTGTCCAAATGACGACGTGTTATGCAGTTAGGAGATTTCACATTTACAAAGAGTTTTTGTTTTTTTTTAAGATTTTATTATTTATTTATTTGACAGAAAGAGTTCACAAGCAGGCAGAGAGGCAGGCAGAGAGAGTGAGGGAGAAGCAGTCTCCCTGCTGAGCAAAGAGTCGGGCATGCGGCTCAATCCTGAGCTGAAGGCAGAGGCTTAACCCACTGAGTGACCCAGGTGCCCCACAAAGAGTTCTTTTTTGTTTTTTGGTTTTTTTTTTTAGTTTATTTGACAGACAGAGATCACAAGCAGGCAGAGAGGCAGGCAGAGAGAGAGGAGGAAGCAGGCTCCCCGCCGAGCAGAGAGCCCGATGTGGGGCTCGTTCCCAGGACCCTGGGATCATGACCTGAGCCGAAGGCAGAGGCTTAACCCACTGAGTCACCCAGGTGCCCCCACAAAGAGTTTTTAATAGTATTTTGAACAGTTTTAATTGAATAAGAGCTGGATCCAAAAACTGTACGCACAAAACATAAATGGGGAAGCCTTTTTGTCATGGTGTCATGCGAACAACACAGGATCTGAAGCAGTGTAGACACTGCCCACCCCTGTGTAACAACGATAGCCAAGAAGGAGCTGGGAAAGAAATATATGGAGATGTTGTAAGGATGGAGAGGTGTAGTGGTAGTGAAGCGAGGCCTATATTCTATAGTTCTCGTGTCTACCCTTTTATTTTCCAAATGTTCCGTTACAATAATGTAGAGTAATAGGAAAATACAGCAAAGAGTTAAAAAAAAAAACAAACACAAAAACCTAGCTACTCACTTCTCCTGGACTCACCGTTGTCTGTGGGAGAGTTTGCCCATAGGGCACTGAGGCTTTCCAGCACTTTCTGCCATGGGGGGGGTGGCTTCCCTTGGGTGGCATCATGCTTCTGGGGCCGGGGTGGACTCAGGATCGCTCACACCTCCCCAGCCGCATGTGCTGCTGTCGGCCTGCAGCGCGTGTCCTCCTTGGTTGAGACAGTGAACCGCAGTCATTTTTCAAACCAGAGTTTACGTGGCTTCTCCAGCCACCTTTACGTGGCCTCCCCTTTCTCTCTAACAGGTACAGCTTCTTAATAATTGCGCTCATTGCTGTAATTGAATGTTATTTTCCACAGTAGCCTGTGAGCCACGTGAGGGGAGGATCGATGTCCTAACATCCCAGGATCAGTCCGGTCCCTGTGGGACTAAACCTCGGGGTTGTCTTTGAAAGTCTGAAGAATCTGGGGAGACCCTTCTCGCCATCGAGATGGTCCTGAAATCGTGACCACGATCTACCGCATGGGAAACAAAGCAAACATTGTACTCTTGTCGAAGGATGAGTGTGACTGAGATTTCTGGCTCCTAACAATGCCCGGAATATAGTATTTTGATGCCAGCTGGTGGACTAGAGTTCAGTTCTGGCTGTAACCACCCAGAGTTAGTGCAGACCCCACTGTTTAAAGGGGGCGTCCCACAGCAATACCACTCCTATTTCCTACCTCCTGGCTGCAGACCCAGGGGTTCTCTTGATTCCCTCAGGTGTGCTAATTTTCTGTAACCAAGCACAGAACTCAGGAAAGCATTACACTTAACCATCACAATTTTATGATACAGGAGACAAATCAGGACCAGCTACACGAAGAGACATATAGGATGAGATCTGAAAAGTCCCAAATGCATAGCTTCTGTGTGCTCTTTCCACGGATTAGGGAACATCACTCCCTAGCACATCACCAACCAGGAAGCTCACGGAGTTTTCACTGGGATTTCCTTACATAGGCCAGATGGATTAAATCATTGGCCATACAACTGAACCCAATCTACAGCCTCTTTTCCCTCCTTGGAGGTCAGGTGGGCTCGAAGTTCTGCCTCTCTAATTGCATGGTTGGTCCTTCTGGTGACCAGCTCCCTTCCTGAAGCTACCAAGGAGACCTCCAAGAGTCACCTCGCTAGCAAAACTCAAGTGTCATCCGGAAAGCTCATGAGTAACTACGACACTTCTATCACCTGGGAAATTTCAAGGCTTTTAGAAGCTCCATGCCAGGAACCTGGCACAAATTCTTTATTCTACAACACATAGTAGACACTCAATAAATATTTGCTAAGCGGAAAGAGACACTAAAAATGCCAGAAATTGGCAGGGGAGAGGAAGGCAGTTAGGCTCTTAGATTCTTTCACGTGACAAGTGTATATGCCTATTATGAAGACAGACACATTAGGTTACAAAAAACCAATACTGTCAAACATTCCAACCCTATGACAAACTCCTTCTGCTCTGGTTTACATTACCAAGCACCCTGATGATAATTTGACTTCCCATGTGACTTGTGTATAGAAAGACAAGGCTAGACGGGCAGACATGAACATGCCCGTCTGCCTGAGTCAGTTTCTTGTTGCAAATTAATAAAGTGGCATTCTGGCTTACGTGGATCTGTCTCTCTGAGCTCTTTGTGCCTTCCACCTCTAGTGTGGTTGCTGAGCCAGATGCTGCCCAAGATCCAACCCCAGACTCTGGCAAATTCGTCCAGGCTGGTGCCACCCGGGAAATCTCTAAGAGCCCGTGGGAGCCATCCAGCCGGCTCTCTGCCTCTACATTTCAGGGTGTGGGCTTCGGGGCATTCACAACATTCCTGCAACAGAAGAGTTTCAGGAACACCCCACATTGGATCTGGGTGACTTGAATATAATCTCAAGCAAGCAGGTATGTCTGAGATGTGGTTGTAAATGAGAAAGCTTAAGCCTAATTAATTTTATTCCCCTTGACTTAAAAAGCATCTGAAAGAAGGGGATCTGAGGACACCTGCACACTAGGCCTCGAGAACACAAGCCTCCAGAGGCTGGAGACACTGACTCTGGCGTACACAGGCTTTGCAGTGACTGGAGAGGTTTACTCTTTGGAAGGAAATAGAGAACTCACTCCTCTAAAACCCGAATGAGGAAGATTAGCCCACCATGAGCTGCAATTCAATTTAGTGCTCAACAAGCAAACTTCTGGTTAATAATCATACTGCTGAATCATCTTGGCTATAGCCTCTCCATTGCAAATTAATAAGTAATGGTCTGGTTTATACATCTTTTTCTTATGAGTTTGTTTAATATGAGTCAGTCCCACAAATCTGATGCATTGACATAAGTGAGTTCCAAGCTCAAGAAAATCAAGACCAGACTACAGAGGATAGTGACTCCCTCCAACATAAAATCAGCCTGTGACTAGTCAGCCAGCTCCTCTCTGGATGAATATATTTGCTTCACTGTATCTCTCAAACCACAGCACACCTAATTCAGGAAACTCTTCTTCAGTACTTTTAATTAAAAGTTTATTTATTTTTAGTCATCTCTACACCCCACATGGGGCTCGAACTAACACCCAGAGATCAAGAGTTGCTTGAGCTTCCAACTGAGTCATCCAGGCACCCCTGCCATACAGTGAATGATAGACATTCTCTTTGGATCCCCACTCTGGCTCCAGTTTTCCCAAGGAAGGATACTTTCCTTCAAAGCAGCCTGCTTTCTTGAAGATCTTGGCTGATAGAATATCTTTTCTTAAATTGGAATTAAACATGTCACCTTATAACTTATAACTGGTTCTTTCACAAAATATCTGCTTAGCCTCAGTTCCTGTGAAGGAACTTGGTGATGGAGCCAAGCCTTCTCACTCCCCTATTGTTCTCCAAGCTTTCCAGTGTCTTTCTTGAAAACATGATCCCCCCTGAATCTGGTCAGTCCACTAGCATTATTATTTTTGAGACATAAGATATTGCTTCAGCAGAAGTTTGTTATTTCTTTTAGCAGCTGCATCTCACTCTGGGCTCATATATTTCAGATAAAATGCCTTCACCTCAGTGCATTTCCCCTTCCTTTTGGATTTGAGGCTGCTGAAATGAGATACACGCTGGTAAGGCTGTGGTGAGCTGATTTCCCCCCCTGGGTGAATGCTATTTCTGTTCAATCTCAGGAAAAGGGTCCTTCGCTCAGGACTCATATACAGAGTCATTTCAAGAATTCACACCTAAGCAGTGAATGAGTTTATTTTTCTTAGAAAGAAAGAGAGAGAGAGAAAAACAAAAGACCTACCTTTCTCTAGGAGAGGAGCCATCACGAGAGAGCTGGGGAGGTGTTTTTCTCATTTTTATCTTCTAGCACCTGGTTGGGTAGAAGGCACTCAGCATGGGCTTGATGAATCTAGCCAACGAGATACTAATTTCAATTGAGAGAGGAAAGAAAAAAGAAGGAAAGGAAGGAAGGAAGGAAGCAAGCAAGCAAGGAAGGAGAAAGAAAGAAGAAAAAAATGGGAAGGAGAAGAGAGACTACTTTGCTCAAGGCTGTTTTTCCTTCTGGTTCTAGAATATAAAAGTGGCATATATAGTACAATAGCTTAACCATACGTAGGCTTGGTTTCTCTCAGACCCCCGGACACATTCCCGGATGAATTTTCCTGTCATCTTGAATCCCTTCGACAAGCCCAAGTTGTCTTCAGCACTAATCCGCCTATTTGTTGTTGACTTAATCTGGAAAAAACTTCCTATCACTCCTTCTCCCCCACCCTGTCCCTCAGCCCCTCAACACCCTTATTCTCTCCACTTGCCCCACCCTCTCCTCCCCCCGCCCCACTCCAGTCCGCAAACCCACACGGGTTTCAAGTTTAGGATTTGATGTTGTCACTGCCCACAGACGTTCGCTGGGACAACTTCGAGAGGCCATGTGCTTGTCCCCTTTAGGAAGTGGGAGAAATCCCTGCAGCTCGGTTTTGTTCCAATGGTCTGTTCAGTGAGTGATTCCCGTTTCCCCAAAGGCTGCCCCTCATTAGCATGAACGGGGGTGGGGGTGTGGAGAAGGGGTGGGGGGAGAGAAAGAGCAAAAAAGCCCAGGCTCCGTTGTAGAGCCTGGGAACCGTGTCTACGAAAATGACAGCTAGAGCTTTCTGGCTCCTCTGTTTGATCGTTGGATCCTCTCCCGAAGCCCCAGTGGCGGAGAGAAAAGGTAAGATCGGGGAAATGCTGAGTCCTGGGAGAGGAGCAGGGGTGGGGTGGGTGGGGGGGTGGGAGGGGGACGGGGGAGAAGGCGCGCTGAAGGGCGGGACGAGAAAGGGGTCAGAGTGTGCAGGAGAGGGGACTCCGTGTCCGTGTTCGTGTTCGAAAGGAGCAAACTGTGTCCCCAAGATTTTGTGTGTCCTGGCAGCCTTTTCGGAAAGAAGCCAGTTCAGCTACTGAAATGATCTCGAGCGAGCCGGGCAGGCTGGGGAAAACTTTGCATGTTAAGTAGTTGCTCCATCACAGAGGAGGGAAAGTGTCAAAAGGGGTCGCGGCATGCCTTTCGGGCGCCGTGAGGGCCGGGCTCGCAGGACGCGGCGGGAGGAGCGCGGGGTCCGCCCTGCGCCGGGGTCGGGGTCCCGCGGGCCATCCCAAGCGCTGGGTGCGCCCGCCGCGGCTGAGGGCGAAGGGGAGCCCAAATCGGACATCTCTCCCCTCTGGCTGCAAGCCCCAGCGAATGGCCCGTGGGGGCGGCGGGGGCGGGGGTGTCGTACCTGAGTCTTTAAAACACGCACACACAGAGTTTCGTGCATGAGATGGAAATAAGTTACTGAGGGAATGAAATAATGAAATAAGGGATTCTCTGCGGGGAGAGGTTTTTGTTTTGCTTTTTTTTGGATGTTCTTCTGATTCCCTATCTCTGGGAAAAACAGCTTCCGCACCTCACAGGGCAATTTACTTTGGGTTATTTTTCCACATGGAAACTGAATGACTTCAGTGGCATTTAACCCAAATATCAGACAATCTTTCCCATGACAACAGATGGTGATATCAATGGGGAAGCAGTTGTGAGGTCAACAGTTGTCAGGAATTGGATATCTACCAGAACTTTATTCAGCTGTGAATGGGACAACGTTGGACATAATGAGTCAGAATCAACCTCTCTGCAAAAACACGAACTAGAACCAGCTATTACTGCTCGGGGAAAGCTGATTTTAAAGGAGATTGTCAATTGGGCAAGATAAATCCCTTTAAATGAAGTGTTGCAAGAGCTGCACGTGGGCAGACCCAGCTCTTCCATGCAAGAAGAGAGAAATGTGGAAAACCAGCCGTTGAGACCACAGAAAAAGAAAAAGAAAGACAAGTTCTTGTGCCTCTTTGGAGAGCACTGGGACCCAGGCAAACGGGGAGGTGATATTGTGTAACTGGGCATGGAAAGTTGCCCAGCTTCCAAGCTCGCTGAAGTTTGCTCACCAACCTGTCTGCAGAGCTGGGGAAAATCATTATTAAAAAAAAAAAAAAATTGCTTCCATGCCATATCATTTAAGAGATTTTTCGCCACCAGGGAAGGGGAAATGTAAGTGGTGCGCGTGTGCTTTTATACTCAACCAGGGGCCTCGGCCTCCCAGCCATGCTTTAAAAATCTTCCTTAGCTGTAGTTTACTAGTAAGCGGTGTCCAAGAAGCCAGATAAAAATCCACTCACAGAGACCAAGATGACAGTGTAAACACGGATGGGAAAACCAAATAGTTCTGTTGTCAGGGCGCTTAAACAATTAGGAGAACCTGTAATATGAGACCTTTCCCCCTGGGGTTTGCTCTTGGTACTTTCTCAACAAACTGTACATAGCAAAAAGGCGGATGTTTATATATATATTAAAGAAACGGCAACAAAGAGTTTGTTATTTAACCACAGTTGACCGTTGTGTTTAGCCCTAGAACAAACAGGTTGTTGCAATTTTAAAAGCTATCGATTTTAAAAGGTTCCTTAACAAAATGAGATGTTCGCATGTGGTGAGAAAATTTTTCTTAGTTGGCCTCATTTTTAGAGGGCAAGACCCTCATCTCAGTCTTCCCCCGGGGCCTAGGAAACCTGTGCTCTACTCGGTCCTGAAGCTGAGGCTTCCCTCCCCTTACCACAGGGGCGCCTTCCTCTCCCCCCCCCCGCCCCCCGGCCTTCACTTCCACGTCTCCGGGCCCCCCCCCCCCCCCCCCCCCCCCCCCCCTCCCCCCCCTCCCGCTCCCTGGCCTTCACTTCCAAGTCTCCGGGCCCCCGCCCCCCCCCGCCCGCCCCCCGGGCCATCGCTCCTCTCGCAGGTGCTTGCTAAGTTTACATTGTCCCCATCTCCGCTCCCCTCCCAGGGCCTTTTCTTCTCCCGCCCCTCACCCCCACCCCGCCCGCCCACCGGCCTCTCAGACCCTCCGCCCGCCTTCCCACCCCCCTCAACCTCTCCCGCTTCTCCTCTCCTCCCCACTCGGCCTCCCCTGCCCTCTCCACAGGGTCTCCCCTCCCCTCTTCAAGCCTCCCCTCCCCCGCGCCGCTGCCCTCCCACTCGGCTTCTCCCCTCCGCGCCTCTCCTTCCCTGACGGCCTCCCCGGCCTCTCCTCTTTTTTCCCTACAGCGTCGCCGCCCCACAACAGGAAGCCCGACCCCGGCGGCGGCCCGAGTGCGGAGGAGACGCCGGGGCCCCGAGCGCAGCCGGTCCCTGAGGTGCCGCGGCGGCCGCGCGCGGCCGAGGCCGCTCCCCGCGCTTGGTCCGACCCGCGACGCCGGAAGCCCCCGCCGCCCGCCGAGAACCGGGCGGGCTTCCGGGAGGCCGCGCGCGCGCCCGCCGGCCCGCCGAGCCCCCGCCTCGCGCAGGCCGAGAACCGCGCCTCGCCGCGCCGCGTGCCCGCGCTGGAGGACTCCCCGCGGCGCTCACGCGCCCGGGCCCTGCGCTTCCCGGCCGCGCGGTCGCTCGCGCGCGCCGCCGAGGCTCCCGCCAGCCCCGCCCACCCCAACCGGCCGCGCGCCGCCGCGCCGCCCCCGGGGCCCGAGCCCGCACCACCCTCGCGCCTCAGCCCGCCGAGGAGGGACGCGGATGCCGGCGCCGAGCCCTGCGCGCGCGCCTGCAGGGTGGACCTGGACGAGCGCGAGTCCTACTGCGCGAGCGAATTCGGTGAGCCCCGCCCCGCAGCACCTCCCGGGCCCGGGCCGCAGAGCCCAGGCCGAGAGGCGAGCCTTTCCGAGCCCAGGCGCGGGCTGTGCTCGCAGACTGCCCTAGGGGAGACCCTAGAGAAACCCACTCACTCAATTCTGCGGTCCCCAGACCCATGTGGACTATTTCATGATGTGTGCAAAACTCACTGGGGAAAGAGAGGAAATGAGCGTTCTGCATTTCTCCAAACTCTTTGTTTTTTGAAAGCAGCAGTGAACGGAATCGTGCATGACGTGGACGTGCTCGGCACAGGGATCCGGCTGGTGACTCTGCTGGTGGACCGGGATGGGCTGTACAAGATGAACCGCCTGTACATCACCCCGGACGGGTTTTTCTTCCGAGTCCACATACTAGTCCTAGACTCCTCCAGCTGCAATAAGCCATGCCCAGAGTTTAAACCTGGTATTGAAACTGATCTGAACACTTTATATACGGATTTTGTGCCACCACTTGTAACTTGGATGCCACAATCTGGTCTGTTCGTTACCCCAATACCGTTTGGGCGGGGGGAGTAGTATTCTAAAATGAATAGAATTTAGACGACAGGTATTTCTGCCACTCCGATTTCCGCTCCGTCAGCCTCCCCGTGCCTCTGGTTAAAGGTGGGAACAGCATGGATTGACACAAAGCGGGCACTCAGATATTTGTTGATAAATGGAGTGACGAAACAACGTTGCTAGAGGGGCAGAGAAGACGCTTTTTAGAAAGTTTAGAACGTCTTTTTTTTGGAGGGGGTGGAATACCCACTCCCACATCTTTCTAGAGGTGTGCTCTGGAAAATCCTGATTACAGTGTCGTTAGGACCTTTGTACTGGGATGTTGGCGGGTAATAATAGGCAGATAAACTGATTATCTTCTAAAGGTCCCTAGACTCCACCTGTTGTTTGAGGGTGAAACGTCTTCTAAAGGTCCCTAGACTCCACCTGTTGTTTGAGGGTGAAACGTCTGAGATTTAACAGGTGCAGCAAGATAACAGCTTGAAGCTTAGGCGTTCCTTGACGGCCTTGCATGTTCTGTTTCTTGGCATTTAAAAGACACTGCGAATTTACATTTTGGTTACTTTTTTTCAGGAAGCAGGTATATTGTGATGGGCCATATCTACCACAAGAGACGCCAGCTCCCTACAGCTCTGCTCCAGGTCCTGAGAGGACGGCTCCGACCAGGAGATGGATTGCTCATGAGTGGCAGCAGCTACGTGAAGAGATTTAACCGAAAAAGGAATGGGCAAGTTCAAAGTGCCGTTCACACCCAGTGCGTTTGAAATGTACTACCCTCGCACTGCTGGGTTGTAAGACATGTCGCATTCAGCAACAAGACAGGAGAGGTCTGTCTTCACGGAATGGGGTCTTCCTGTGGAGGAGGGCACACAGCTCCTTCTGGAATGGATTGTGTAGTTCCAACTCTAATCTCGAAGTCGCCACTTTATTTGCAAAATGGCTCTTCAGTGGTATGCTTCTGAGGTCCCTGGCAAAGTTACTGGAGTCTAGTGGCATGTATTCACACAGCTCAGATAACTGACCTGTCCAGTTAGCAGATCACTGCTTCATGTGGTTTATTTTTAATTATTTTAATTTAAATACATTCTTCAGTAGAAAGAGTTCACAAAAAAGCATTTCCTTGATTTTAAATATACAACTTTGAATAGGTTATATCACATTATCAAACCAAGTTTTATACTAAAACCATCACATTTTAAATTCTGTACATAACAGCGCACTAGTCAAAAGACATGTATGAAATGTCATTTAGATCAAAACACTAGGGTCAGAACTCAAGACAAGTATTCAAGTTTTACACTTAAAGAGTACTAACGGGCTTAATTCAAGCAAAAATATTATTCACACAAGTGTTCCTGATGTACCAAAATGTAAGAAATAGTTATTCTCTTCCCTCCCTGCTCCTAAAAACAATTTGTGCCAAACTGGCAACTGTCCCAATGCTAAACATATTCTGGGTGTATCTGATGTCATTTTTCTATTAAGACCGAGTATCGTGTTTGTGTTTGTAAAGTAGTAAATCTTGCCTTGAAATCAGATCTTGGATGCACCTGGTTTTTTTTAGCCTCATGGAGCTCTACAGGTTTAGGAAAAAGCCTTTCTCAAACTTACTCCAAAAACCTTGGAATGGATATTCAATGACAGCTTGCAAGTATGTGAATTTTAAACATTTTCCCAGTTGGTTTGGAAAAGGTTTAATCACTAGCTGAATTTAAGATTCATTTTATACTTGAGTCCACAAGACATTTTAACAGTTTTTTTTTTCCCAGAAGACCAAGCTGTACATCAGTTAATTTGAAACACGTGAATAGAGACATGGATAATCCAAGCTGAAGAGGACAGCCGAAGGAAAGATAAGCAGGAACTGCACCAAAGAGAAAAAACAAACCCACAGCCTATCCTGGTCTCAGAGGAGAGGTGCTCAGGGAGCTCATGATGTGTCTTTAGACAGTCTTTAATGGCCACATAGAACAGAAGCACAATACATCCTAAAAGATGTTTAGGGCAGTAGAGCATCCACAAGGAAGCAAGAGTGTAAGACATGACATCTGCCTGTGATGGGAGATATTCTTACCTTATTTGTTCCAAACAGAGGGCAAAGAGATAAAATAACATGGGAGAGCTCCTGACTCTTCTGTGGTAAAGCATCATTGAGGGAGTTTTGGAGAATTTTCCAAAAATGAGTTTTGCCCAAACTTACTAAAAATCATTCTAGGATTGCTTCTTGGGAATGAATCAACTGCATTAATTATAACGCGACCTACTGGCAATAGAGTAAGCCGAGATTGAAGAGCTTCTGGCTTGTGTGTTTAGGATAAACATTAACTGAGACATAAATAGCACCAGTCACAAAAACCAAAGATGAATTTTTAAATGTGAAAAGGCTAAGCGGTGATCTTGAATAACACAGTGATAAAAACTACAAAATGACCAAGTAGATAAATTACTGGTTGGATGGTCGTGAGTTAGAAGGTGAAGAGTTAAATCACTTTTACATAAGCCTGAGGGTTAGGGTTTTATTAGACCACTTTGATGATACTGTTTCTGAAGAGTTTTGGGAGCACACCTGATGCCAGAATCGTGTAATCTATATGATAGCTAGAGGTCATACGGTTAGTGTGTACACACGGGGAGGGAAAACAAGCAGGCCACCTATATAGAAACTGCCCAGAACTATGGCCGTCATTCAAGACCAGGTCTCGATGAGAGACAGGGGAGGCTCAAACGAGGTAGAACGGTGCTGGGCAAGGGGGTCTGTGCACTGGAGGGAGCGACCAAACAGATCATCCTGGGTTAGGCGAAAAAGGTTACAAAGAGTCGCATTTTCAATATTCAATCAGTAGCTTGGATACAGTCTTAACTTTATGCAAAACTGTAAGCAGCAAGTTCACTGTAGTTCCTAATCCTTTTGTCCTACTGAAGATTTTTCTTAGCACGTGGATTTGTGCTCCAAAGACCATAAAAGGCTGTGTGCACGTGTAAGTCCCTCATCAGGAAAATACACCACTGCCTTCAAGAGGAACCCAGCAGCATCCCTCCTTTGAATTAAGATCTTAGAACTCAAGAAAAAAAAGTACTTGTTTTGCTTTTAGGCCTATAAAAATATATACTCTTATTTGGTACAAACTTTTTTAAGTTTTTGAAGATACCAATTGGCACTGTTTATATTTCCCTTCTATCAATTTTAAGGTTGATCTCACAGTATACACAAACACCTAAAAACTGACCCAGCAAATGCCACCCAATTTCGGGTCCAGAACTTTATCATTTTTAAAGCTTTTCTTTAAATTTGAATTTGGTCCAAATTGGATCCAATGGGGGTGTGATCATATAAGAAAGGTCTTCTCTGGTAGCTTACTCAAAGTATCCCAAAGTATCTCAGAATATTTCGTATTATTAAAAATACTCAGCTGGCTCTCTCCAACCCCCACCTCCCCGGCACCCCCCTCCTCCCTGCCCAAGCACTCACAAGACACTGCTCTGTCCATGAGATCGCACCATTCTCACTTTCAGGATGAGAAACTGGAGGCTTCCAAGAGTGACCTCAGTCCTGAAGAGTGGGAACTACGGTAACTGTAGCTAGCCCCGTCTAGCTCAGCCTGTCCGTATGTCCACCAGGCTTGCTCTCTACTATCAGAAACACACACACACATGAATACAAATAAGGAAAGAACCTCAATTTACAGATTCTGGGAAAGTAGATTATGAACAACAGCAAATCTCAGGGTCTCTAAATAACACTCCAGACCATTTGAAATACAAAAAGACAACTGTTTTACTTTGGAAAAGATCTCTGGAAGTTCACAGATTTTTTTTTTTTTTTAACCTGTTGCAGGACATTAACTAAAATACAAATCTTGCAGACTCTGGATGGGAGAAAAAAGCCTTACCAATATTATGAAAATACTTATTAGGAACGGTTTTCAAGGATTGTGAACTTGGCAGATGAAACTAACAAGCACCAAAAATCCTTTTAGCCAAGGAAATCTACTGATGCAAATTACATGTGTTTACAAGCCTAAAGACTGGGTAGAAAATCCTAACCGTGTATCACAAATGTACAGTCTACTACTTGGATTATTCAAAGTAAAAGAGCTGTGATATGTTTATCTTATTGGATAGCAGGAGCTTGTCAAAGAATACTCCTAGAAAAGCAGCTTTTGAAACTGATTATGTGTTATAAGAATGTTTTTCAAAAATTACTTCTGAAACAAGACTAAAGCTCTGTAGTTGATAAAACTATAAAATGTCTATTTATACAGTGATAGAAATTACAAAAGGCTTTATACTATTAAATACACATATGAAATTAATATCTTCCTGGTCTGAGGATTCCCATAAAATTTATCTTTTTTGGTACAATTTAGCAATGCCAACGGCTACAGAAAATATATCAACCAACCAAACCACTATTTCATTAGAAACTGCACCAAATCCAATGTCAAAAACATTACTTTATTTTTCTAGGATGAAATGTCCTATTACGTACAAAAGGAATTGCTGTTTAGAATTTGCCACAATCTGTTAAAAACATAGCAATCTATTGCCTACAGGTAGGAAAGTTCTTGCTGCAACAAGTTTTAAATGATTAAGCCCATATATATCTATATATCTCTCTCTATATATGAATAAGTAGTACAGAAATACTGTGACGTGACGAGATGCAGAATGATTTTATAATTCATTAAAATGTAGGATTCTTGCATCAGCACAGTGCATACAATAGGTAACATTTTTTTTTTTAAGGTAAAAGGACAAAATAACCTGTATTTGACTACTTCCATGTTAGTTATTTTAAGCAAAACTTTGTTTCCATGTTTTCATATTGAGCGGTTAGTCTCTTTAAGTTTGTAAGCGTAGGTTTCTAAGTGACATTTGTATGTACAAAAAGGAATGGGCTTCATGAGATAAAATTAACCCAGAATAACCTGCACACCTGAGTCTGTGATAAGGAAGAACTGGGAACTGTAGCAACATCGTTCGTTCTTTTAAGAAACTAAGGTCCGGGAAAGGTTTTGCATAGCAGGGTGATATTAAACAGAAGGAAACTTTTTAGAAACATGATTTGACAAATTCCAGAAACTGGCAGGACAAAGCTAACATGAATTAGTGCAAAATCTAGTAAAATTTTTGCAAAGCTGCATAAACCAACTATGGCAGATCTTACAGAAGCTATTATTACAATGCGGTAGGTAATACAACGTGTAAGGTTAGAACACCAAAAGGAAAGACATGCAAAATACACCATTCTCTGCTGTTCCCATTTCCCCCCTACTGCTTACACTACTTTTTCTTGTGTGGGAAAAAACCCACAAACAACTCAACCAACCAACAAAAAAATACAAAATGGATGAAGTAATTTAAAAAATGCCCCATATAAACTCTAAGTAGCTGTCCGTAACTGATCATTTGCCTGGTATTATGTAATGTACAGATGAAGGCAATGTGTATTTTGCCACATTACCCTTTAGTATGATTAACTGATGCAACAGGATTAGCACCCCTGAAGATTCTTCTCTGATGTGATGACAGTGGGCTGGGAATGAGGAAACGAAGGGCCACGACTGCCCTGGGGAAACCCAGGTGCAATTAGATTCTCCAGCCTGTTATGTACCTTGCAGCCCTCCCTTTCCCCTCAAAGGCTTACAGATAATCATTAGCGCACATTCAAAGACACCATCTGTGGGAGAAAAATGATCTCCATTTATTTTGTTTCATATACATCCATAGTTGAATTTTAATACAAAAAGAAAAAAATTAGAATCTGACAAATGTTTACAAACAAGATACCTTCAAATAGATTTTACTCAGTTTAGCCTGGTGCAGAGTAAATGACAAACTGTACTGTTATATTCAAGGCAACAGAGCCTGTAGTCCAGGACCACTTAGCCCAACCTTTATGCAAGCTTAATTT